GTATCCGGAGAGACTGATGGCACGGCTGTAGGGACAGGAATGGAAGACTGGGAAGGACAGACAACAGTAATATTTGGATCCATTACTGAAGGCTCGGCAGTGGCCGATGCAGGATGCTCCGAATTGTCCGCAGGTTGGCTATGGAACCGTGACAATGCATCTGCGTTGGCATGCTGAGTACCTCTACGGTGGACAGTTGTGAAATCGAACGCTTCTAGTTTCTCCAACCATCTCGCCAGGATACCTTCCGAATCCTTGAAAGCCTTCAACCAGAGAAGGGCTTTGTGATCGGTTCGCAAGGTAAAGTTTGCACCCAGCAAATAATGTTTGAAGTATTGCACAAAGAAGACCACTGCATACATCTCACGCCGAGTTGTGCCGTAGCGACGTTGGCTAAGTGAACTACTAGCATACGCAATTACCTGCTCTCTGCCCTGATCGTCAACCTGCGATAGAGTTGCACCAATACCAGTGTCAGAAGCATCCGTGTCCAGGATAAACTTGCGGGATGGATCCGGGTACGTCAGGACAGGAGATGACATGAGCTTCTGCTTCAGGATATCGAACGCTTGCTGACACTCATCCGTCCACGAAAAGCTTGCCTGTTTCTGCATTAGCTTGTGTAGCGGTGCTGCAATTGTCGCGAAGTCCTTAATGAACCGCCTGTAGTAGGAAGCAAAACCTACAAATCGACGAACCTCGGTTGCAGAGCTAAGTGGTTTGAGACTGGTGACCGAACTGCAATTCTTGGGATCAGGGCTCACACCACCTCCCTTGAACACATGCCCAAGATACGTAACCGACTTGCTCAGAATCTGGCACTTACGAGGCTTGACTTTCAAACCTGCTGCCCGGAATTTTTCAAATACTAGGCGCAGTCTAACCAGATGTTCTTGAAATGTTTTCGAGAAAGTTATGGTGTCATCTATGTACGCTGAACATACGCTTGGCACAAGATCACCCAGAACCATGGTCATCAGGCGCTGGAAAGTTGCTGGGGCATTGCACAACCCAAATGGCATGACTTTCCATTCAAACAATCCAAATGGAGTGACAAATGCTGATTTCGCCCTTGCTGCATTAGTTAGCTCTACCTGCCAGTAACCGGATGCAAGATCTAGGGTTGTGAAATACTGTGCGTCACCCATGTTGTCTATGGCATCATCAATCCGCGGAATGGGGAATGCGTCTCTGACAGTTACAGCATTGAGTTTGCGATAATCGACACATAGTCTAATAGCTCCATCAAGCTTCCGAACAACAACAATAGGGGCTGCCCAAGGACTGTTGGAAGGATCGACTAAACCCTCAGCTAAAAGCTGCTCAACATGTTCACGAACCTCATTGGCATGGTGAAGCGGCAATCGTCTAGGGGCTTGGCGAATAGGCTGGCTGCTAGTGGTCTCGATGTCGTGTTTGGCAACACCGGTAGAGCCAAGATCCATTGCTCCCGTTGAAATTATGTCGCTGAACTCCGAGAGAAGAGACCTGACGGCTGCTGCCTCTTCTGTATCGAGATGACTAAGGTCAAACAACTCAACAGGGTCAGAACACATATCAGCAGCATTACAGCTTTCAGCAGTACAATCAGGCTCATCCGCGGCTTCTGCGGCTTTCTCAACAAAGCAAGATTCGAACATGCCAACAACTGTACCCTTGTTTATAGTGACAGGCCGTGGTAGCAGGTTCTGCAACCTGACAGGAACAGTACTGTTCTCACTCACGGTCGTGACCACTCTAGCTGCACTGACACAAAATTTATCTACGAACGACTCTGTTGGCTCTACCATTCCGCACGATGGAGACATAAACTCAGTGTCACGTAATCTACCTTGCGTTATCAAATGAGAATAGCCCTGTAGAACAACAGATTCAGCCAATTGCACTGGAATGGGGTCTGTTTCCACTCTCTGACATGAAAGGTGCTTGGGCCCAACTCCCTGTGTTAATGGAAGGGTCTGATTGCTCAAGCGCAGACAGCCTTGTCCCAGATCCATAATACAACCGTGCCTACGGAGGAAGTCTATGCCTAATAGTACGTCAGGCTCAATGTTCGCAACTACCATAGTGTGCTGAAGTTGGAGGCTGCCAAACTCTAGCTGCACATCCACCGCTCCTTCCACAGTCACGCCACTGCCATCAACACTTCGGACTGATGTAGAAATTTTGTTTAATTTTATATGCTTATGTTGTTGATAGAATGCTGAGCTGACAAACGAAATCGAACTTCCAGAATCAACTAACATGTGGACATCAGTTGTGCATATTGAACTTACTTTGCCGATAACATACTGGCAACTGTCAACAGCAACGGAATGGCATACTACATCGGAAGGCGCGGCGGGCAGCACTTCCGGGCCATGGTGGTTTGGAGCTGACTCTGGACCCTCTATGCCAACTCCCGGCCGTTTCCCGAAGGGCGCTGACGTTGTCCCCGGGGTGGAGGTGCAGTCGGGCAGTACGCAATCAGATGTTCGGCACTCCCACAATGGTAACAGCGGCGCTGTTGTTGGGGTTGCTGCTGGGGTTGCTGCTGCGGTCGCTGCAAAGATGACAGAGCGGTTTCCAATCGTTCCATCCTTACTAATAAGGCATCCAAACGATCTTCCCTGGCAGCACAGACAGCCGCGGCCACTGGCTGAGACGCACTAGTAGTAGCGTCCGCTTGGAGTATGGCAAGTGCTCGAAGTCCTTGCTGCAGTGCCTGGTCAAGAGTTCGGGGGTCTTGGCGACGTACCTCCATGCGCAACTCTCTGCTGTCCAGACCTTCAATGAATTGGTCACATGCCAGCTGGTCCTGCACGAGGTTTGGCAAGGTAGGGTACGCTCTGCGAGACAATCGGCGAATCACCTCGCAGTAATCAGACAACGCCTCCTCACCTCGCTGTCGTCTGGCCTTCAATTCCGCTCTGTGGAGGTCGGTCCTGACGGGTGGAGCAAACCGACCCTCCAGAGCTACCAGTAATTGCTGAACATCCTGGCGTGTCGCGACAGGAAGCGACTGGTAGTAGCACTGCGCATTATCTATCAAGTACAACGGGATGTACTGTGCCTGGTCCTGCGGCGTCCACTCATTAACCAGGCAAACTTGAGTGAAGTGGTCACGCCAAGTAGTCCAGTCCGAGGCTGCTCCACCATCAAAACGTTCCGGAGTTGCCCATGGCCGGATGGGTCGAACGGGAGCTGGCTGGGCGGGCTGAACTGGCTGGGCGGGCTGAACTGGCTGGGCGGGCTGAACTGGCTGGGCTGGCTGCACTGGCTGGGCGGGCTGAACTGGCTGTGCTGGCTGAACTGGCTGGGCTGGCTGAGCTGCCTGAACTGGCTAGCCCGGACGGGGCGGCTGGGCCGGCGGTACTTGCTGGTTAGGCTGTGCTTGGGCCATTCCGAACCAGGAATCACTTCACATTGTCACAACAACAAAAACATAGCATGAAAAAAAAACACGAAACATCCACCGCTGCCACCAGTTGTAGCGTGGCCCAAGTGGTTGGGCACACAACAACCAACAAGTCTCACCAGAGCAAGGAGAAGTGGTTGAAGAAATGAAGGATGATCTTTCTTCAGAGACAGAGCTTTTTATATGTGCCAAGACTAAGAGAGTTCAGGTTTCACATAACAACGAGCAACGGTTTAGACCAATCAGGAGATAGAGAGATGGCACAGATTCGGCCAATCAGAAGACATGTATTGGAAGAAAGTAAAGAAAAAAAGGAAAGCTTCTGGAAAAAGGTAGGTTCGAACTTCACATGCAAAGGATACTAGTCTTATTACTGTACAGGTTTTAACACACCAAGCTACAGTGACACAGGCTCTAGACTACAATGCAACAGGTACAAGGTTGAAGAATCTGCATGCTCTACAGTGTGTGTGAATGCTCAACCGGGCCAGCACAGCAAAGTGATCACTTATGTCTAAGTGTATTGCTGCACAGGTACCATCCAAAGGGGATGATGAGAGAAACAAATCTAGCATTGTGGATGATGTTGCCGTGACTCGAGTTGGAGATGTAACATAATTGCAGAGATTGAAGTGGGAAAGTATGTTGTACAAAGGGGATGCAGATGGAGAAGTTGGATTGCTAAAATCAACATTGAAGTCGCCACAGTGGACTGCTGACATCCCTGAACAGCTTGCTCAACGTTCTGATCCAGTGTGGTCCAGTAGGCAGCAGAACTATTTGGCGGCCGATAACAGCAGCCGAGGAGCGTTCCATGTCGACCAGGGGCTAGAATCTCCAGCCACAGCATCTCTAGCTCGCACTGTAAATCGGCCCGTTGTCGTAAAGCCAGTGACTCGTGACAATACACAGCAACTCCGCCACCTCGCTGATCAGGTCTTTCTCTTCTGTATAGCTCGAAGTGCGGGATGGACAACTCCTGATCGGACACATCCGGGGTCAACCATGTCTTGGCTATCACGAGAACGTGAATGCCTCGTGTTGAGATGAACGTTTGAACTTCTGCTACCTTCCGCCGAACACTACACACATTCAGAAATCCCACACTGAGTGACTGGGTCGAGGAGGTAGGTGTGCTGTGGGTGTTACATCATAGTTATATTTCGGCACAGCAGACATTGGCATAGTAGATGTTGGCATATGATAATTATACTGGCACAATTACTGTTGTCCCAATCTGCATTGCCACAATGCATGTTTGTATAAGTCATGATGGCACAGATATGTTTGGACGAAACCTGTTGACACTCAAGGCATTTTCATAATGACAGATTGCATGCCTTCTCACCGGCCGGTAGTACCCAAGAAATCGCTCTGCAACAGTGATTTTGGTTGGGAATCTTCCTGAAACATTTGTTGGTATGAGGTGTTTCATTTATAAGGCAAATTAAAGGGGCAAATGAAGCAATGTTTTATTCCTCTGTGTCCGCAACCAACATGATATGCTATTTCGTTATGTTGGTTGCAGACACAGATGAATAAAATATTGCTTCCACAGGGACAGCCATTGATAAAACCACTCTAAAATATAATCATCACTTACTGACACAGAGGATTTTGGCGTGGCGATTAATTGTGGAATTTTGAAATGGATTACTGCGATTTCTAAACGTTACAGTTATGTAATGGGAGTTGCCATTCACTCGGATTGGTGTGACGTGGTAAGGTGCGTGCCGAAGAGCCAATCTATCTAGCCAGCGCTCTCTTAATACATGGCCATGTGCTTGCAGCCAGTCATAGGTTATGAGGTGAAGTCCGTACTCCTGACATGCCTCCTCTGCAAACTGCTCAGTCACGTTGGGTTTCAGTGATGGCGTGGCTGCGGCGTATACCGAGTCGTTGTAATGGAGCCACTTGGCTGCAGGACAAGGGCACATACAGTAGTGGGCAGATAATAGGTACATTAGTAATGAGATATACTCGAATAACGGCTGCCCTGGGCTCTATAGTCGTACTCAATGAAACCTTGTCTGATGGCAGTGTCAGAGCAATGAACTAAAAAAAGAAGGTAATCGATAACCGCTTTGCAGTGATCGTTTCAGCCCTACCCTGAGTATTTGCCGGGCACACACACACACACACACACTTACACACACACACACACACACACACACACACACACACACACACACACACACACACACACACACACACACATACACACACACACACACACACACACACACACACACACACACACACACACACACACACACACACACAAGGAGAACGATGTCAAAAACCGGGGCGAGAGGTTAAAGTGAAAAAAAATGTTCTATGCATACAAAGAAGGAAGGTTGCCGCTACTCAAACATCTCGATGAGCAGCATGCTGGCTATACCTAAAGCTGCATGTGGCTGGGCAGACCTCAGTGACCAGCAGTACGCCACTGTTGCAAACCACCCCAGTGGTTCTACCCAGTACAGTTGCTCTCGGTGAGACCCGGCCCAGCGTGCAGATTTAGTGCCTTCAACTTGCGCGGCCATTGACGCCGTGGAATTGGGACAAATGTGGCCGCGTACGCATGTACAATACAATGATGTAATCAGAACTGATCCAGGGCAGCCAGCTTTGCACTTTGGGTCTATTTTCACCGAGCGCAACTGCACTTAAAGCAGTCCCGGAGAAAGAAGTTTTAACCAAGCTATGAATAAAACGTACGATGCCGACATAATAATGTGATGAACAAATTAACTTTGTATCTTTATAGTTGTAGTCTCTTGGGGCGTGTTTGATTGGTCGGATCCAGAACAGGGGCGTTTTGAACAGGGGCGTTTGATTGGTCTGCACTGGTCTGCTCTAGGTTTGGAGTGTTCAGAACATGTTCTGACCACTCCGACCCCAGAGGCTGGAGCAGCCAGAGCTTGTTGCAAAGCCCAATGAGAACCTGACATGACTACGCAATGAGTTTCGTTTTTTTGTTTTCATTCGAATAGATTTTGGCATGCCAGTGATTACGAAAGGGCGTGGTGATGTACATGGAGGTCTAAGTGTGATTTTGCACATTACACGGCGGTCCCCACATCCATGATTTATTTTTTGGCTGTCTTCGAAGCTTCTTCTCCGGTTGTAGTTGCTTTTCAAGTTTGTTTTGCCTTCGCATGTTGAGCAATGTGAACATCTTTGAAGTCTGTGTAAATTTTGAAGTTCGCGGCATGGTGAGCTATCGTGAGTTCTACAATATTTCAGGCAAAAATATTCGCCGTTCTGTTTGATTGGTAACTGGTGTTCTGACTGCTCCAGTGACTCTAATCTGAATCCGGATTCACCAATCAAACATGCCCTTAGTTTATTTCCTTCTTATCCTGTAGTGTTTTGAGAAGAAGGGAACGAAAACTTTCAATACATAGTTCACATGTCCGGACTGGCTGATGGTATGTTCCGGCGTAGATGCATACGACAACATGATATTTTTCTAACGAACAAATGGAACAAAATATGCAAAGAATAATTCATGAACGTCCCAGTTGTCACCGTTATGCCGGGTTATGACACAAGCATAGACATGAACTGTTTCTTAGCAGATGGGGTGAATTGGTAACTCGCGTCTGGGTCCGACTCCGGCTAGATGGGTAGGTTTTCCCATTGGAGTGGGAAATCTAAATGAAGGTTGTAATCACTCTTGGCATCGCCTCTCTGTGTCAGTCCTCTAGCCCTGTCAATAGACATGGTTAGCATTTTACCATTCACATTCACTTCGACCGTACGTCGGCCTGTACCATTTTGTGTGTGATTTCAAGACACTGGTTAGCATTTCGGTTTCTGACACAACGATCGACTTGTGACGTACCCTAGTTGGAATCCTACCGTTTCGTTCTTCCGCTAAACAGAGCTTTTTATCGTCGAAACGGTACCAAACCAATGGTATTTTGGGTGTTGGGTACGAGTACGGTTGGATTTAGAGCGAACGGTTAAATGCTAACCATTTCTACACACACAACAAACGGGTACAGGCCGACCGTCGCAAATCGCGTGAATGGTAAAATGCTAACCATGCATAGTATTACTTTCTACCCAATGGTTGCTGGCTACTGAGCATCTCTCTCACGGGTTCATTTGATCACAATCCAACAGCCTACCTTCGCAGATGACATCATGATGGCTTGTTCCATCACTATCATACAATTCTTTAGTCAAACTGTTCTTGCCCTGCTGGTATATGAGATGTTGGTCATCCTTCACGAACGATGTCCATATTGAAGTAGGGTTGCTGTAAGAGCTCGTCACCATCTCGTTGAGCAATGCTTCCATGCAGTCGCGCACACCAAGCGTCTGATTGGTGAAGGAATCATGGTCTACCACGTTGTATCCTCTTCTTGTGCACATCTGGCGAGCATGCGTCAAGTTCGTTTTCTTCTGGCAGCTGTCACCGTCGAGGTGTGGATGACACGGCAAGCTGGCGAGAGCCATCCAGGTGTACGTTGCGTTATCTGTACCCAGGCACTTTGTCTTGAAAGCTGAACATAACACATTACACATGCAAGGCACAGTCAGGTGAAGTAGAAAGCACACATAAACAAGATGTACACTTCCTGAGCAGCGGTAGCATAGTTCAATTGAAAATTATATACCTATGCAAATACCACTCGCCCATTTAGCTCCATTTCCTCCAGCAAACTGACTTGCCAGTGCACTTTCTCTCCGGGTATCGTTTGACCCACAGTTCAGGACGAAACATTACATTTTGCCCTCTCATTTCACCTTGATAGACTTTCATCATCTTGGCCTTGTTGGAAGGATCAGACCTTAGCATATCCATTCTAATAGCTCTCAGCTATAAACTGCGTTCAATTTTAGCTACCTGGTAAAGTAGAGTCACTCTACCGATAGAGGAAGAAGGTAGAGGTAAGTGGACGAACGCTATTCTACCGGATTTATTAGTTTACACGATATGTACGTGAAATGTTTCTATTCCGTATGGAGGTGTACAAATCCTTGATCTTGTCGGAAATACCGTAGCACTACTAACTTCTACCGGTTTCCACCAACTTTTTCCTGGTAGAGCCGGTAGAGGAAAGTAGAATCCACACTTTTGACTTGAAGTTTTGACTAGAAGAAACGAACGCCTCTACCGAAAGAAATAGTTTCTACCCAAACTTGTAGATCAATAAACGAACGCCCCGTTAATGTGTACAGGTATTCCCACATTTCACAGAAATATGCACAGCAAACGTAGCTCTACCAACTTCTACCGGCTTCAACCAACTTTTCCTTGTAGAGCCGGCAGAGGAAAGTAGAACCCACCCTTTTGAGAAGAAGAAACGAACGCCTCTACCGAAAGAAATAGTTTCTACCCAAACCTGTAGATAAAAAACCAACGTCTCTTTAATGTGTACATGTATTCCCACATTTCACAGAAATATGCCAGCACACTGGATTTCACTTCATACAGCATAATACTCACTATGCTGACACTTGTCTCCATGGAAACCGTTCCGGCAGTTGCAACTGCCATCGTCAGTGCACTGACCGTCATTCAAGCAATTACATGCTGCAGCAGTGATTGGGAATATTCACGCATTTTCAAAAAAAGCACAAAGAGAGGAACAGAAAAGCGGGTTCTTGACATGTCCTTGAACATGATAACATGGAGACGTTAAATTAACTCTTGACAACAAGATAGCTCAACTCATGAGAGTGACCAACTCCCCATATATATGCATTATTTATTCCACATGAATAGAATAAAGAGGTAGAATTGGTTGGAGGAACTGGCATGACGACATAGAAGTTTTTTTCTTCTTCTCGACTCCGAATACAACATTCCAGCATGCATGAACCCATGGATCATACATTATTTGACACGCAGGCATATTACAGTAGCTTTCTTTAGCCCTTACCTTCTGTGCAGTTGGGTCTATCTAGTCCTGGTTGACATTCACACACTTTGCTCTTTTTCACCCAGGGTTCCTCGCACACAACTGCATCCATCACATAGCACAGACCGAAGAGGAAGAAGAGGAGAGAGTGAATCAGCCGGAAACGGAGTCAGGCAGACTAAAGACAATCATAATATGTATAAAGTAAAAGAGGCTGGACAAGGGAACCTTGGATAAATCTGGGTTTCGATCATAATGGCCTGGCTGGGCCAGGGAAACTTGGATAAATCTGGGTTTCGATCATAATGGCCTGGCTGGGCCAGGGAAACTTGGATAAATCTGGGTTTCGATCATAATGGCCTTCTTCCAAAAGATAGAATTGCTGCTGGAAGGTAAGCACTCTTAAAGCAGGAATGACAAGCAGCAGTTTACAAATCAGTGCTATCAGTAGAAATTACCATCACTGCTCTGCGGCACACTCAGACAATTGAAACTTTGCTAACAAACAAAATGACGACAGAAGCACAACGTGACATGACCAACTTAAGACAGAGGGTGGTAATAGGTTTTTCATTTGACAAAACCAGACCAAACCAGAGCACTTGCAGACGACAGTTCTCCGGCCACACTCCAAAATAGCAATTTGTGCTACTCCTGAACTGTGAACTGTTCGTGCTTTTTTGTTGTGTCATTTAGGAGTGAAACGAATTCTGAATATTCTGGAATTGTTCCTTTGGATAACAATTCGAAGCATTCGGTTCAGATCGGAATACATTGTGTTTTGGTTTTGGACATTTTGCATGTGCAAGTAAGGCTGCGTTTACACGACAAAGCTGGGGGTGAAAACGCAACAAAATCCTTTCGGATGCATGGTTCATTTACACGGTACGAAGAGCAAAACGTAAAAGTTGTAGACCAAAATGGAAGAAAACCAAAACGCTGGCCAAGGTGGAAGAATTTGAAAACGAAATTGTTCTGCAGGATAAATTTGAGTGTGTAAACAGTCGAAACGGTATGCTGGCCTCGTTTTTCGTCACGTTTGTTTCGTTTTCGGCCGTTTACACGGATCCGGCAATCCAAAAAATTGTTTTTACAATTTTCGTCATGTGACGAGTGTTGTTTTGTGGCCTATTCCTGGAGTGTGATTGGTGCTTCCACGACAACACTTGGCACATGACGAACGTTTGCGGATCCTTTGCTCCCGTGTAGAAGCGCGAAAACGATACAAACGGAGACCACCTCGGATCAGCATTGATCATGTAAACACACGAAAACGAAAGAAGAAATGCGGGACCGAAAATGGAAAACTGGCCGTGCATTTTCATGTAAACACAGCCTAATATTGCAGTCATTGACTAGGTCCGTGTGAGGTTATAGCTTACAACATTAGAGAGGTTCCATACAACATAATTAGTCGATGAATGGAGAGTCCCACTGCATGAGGACCTGTGTTCCGCCTTATGGAGTTTTCGAATCACGTACCTGCCCTTGGCAGCTTGGAACACGGCAGTGTATGACCGGGTAGACCTGGCTAGAGAGTCCTAAATATGTACCACTAACGTAAAGTTGCTCAGCTTTACGTAGTGTCGAACCTCTCTATTAGGGTGCTGTAATTTCACAAATTTTCTGTGTACTTTTATTTTCGGTACTTTCGGTGCGTCTGTTTCATACGTAAAATTTCAAGACACCAAACAAACACTAACACACATAATCCAATAGGGAACTGCTGCTCTGTACCGAAACTTTCTGTCCACCTAACCTAGCCTGTTGCCCTCATACCGAAAATATTGAGCACCGAAAATTTCTGAAATTTTGAGTAACCTCAAGTACATGGCAGTAGAATGCGGTGGTTGGCATGCTGGGAAAGGGGACTATGGCTCACAAGGCTGAACCAGACAGAACTGTCTACATATTCTTTAGTGATGTGAGAACAAACAAACTATAGAATATCCGGTATCCAATTTGAAGAAGAGGTTGGTGCTACTTCGGCGATACTTATTCAATTCGTTTACAGAATATTCGGTACGATTTAGAATATTCGTGTCACCCCAACACTCCTATTTCAAGCGAGCACTCAAAAAGACCAGTATGCATGTCCTAGTTCTCTGTCACCCCTGTTAAAACTACCGCGAAGCCTACCCATACACGTAAGGTAAAGGGGAGCCCACTTTTACATGGATGTACGCTCTGAAAATCCCACGCCAGCCATATGAAATGAGTAAAACGAATTCACTTCTACTTACCGAGTTGGCAATGGTGGCCGGTGAATCCCCTAGGGCAGCTGCATTCACCTTTGTTATCACACTCACCTTGGTTCAAGCACTTGCATGCTGCAACAGGCAGGGAAAAAAGCACATGCATGGAGTGAGTTACGCAGAAATAATGCACAGGAGGTCACTGTGTAGTAAGTGGCCCCCGGAGGCAATCACGCACAAACTCAAGTCAAAGCACTCACTTTCTAGTTTTACAAATAATCGTCACAGAAGAAATATTCTATACACACTTGGAACGCAAAGAGAGTAAAGAAGCAACAATAAAGAAGAAAGGAAGGGAACAGAAGTTCGGCAACCTGCAGCCATGTTCTAAGTCCCTAACCAATAAGCAATCTACGAAAACCGGTTGCCGACGAAATTCTAGAACCTTCTGGAACATTAGTATAAGTAGCCAATCACATTTCAAAGCTCAAGAACACAAACAAGACACAGGGGATGTAGGGACGGCTTCTTGTTAGTGTTCATCCCTTCCTCTGGAAGGTGTGTGTTCTGATAAAAACAACAAAAACCTAATGCAGGGCGGTAGCGACCACTTTTGGACTGGTCTCAGTTGGACATTTTACCTTTTAAAACTTGCAGTTAAGATGGTATCACCTAAACTTGGAGAAAGTACTTTTTTCTCGTCCGTCTTGATGATACTGCAAAACCATCAGATGATGGAGACGGCCTTGTGACGTCTTCAGGTGGCGAAATGCACGGAATAACCTCTCTAATGTGGAGTTTGTGGCCGGAAGAATAGACAGTCGTGTGGCAAAGCACTGAACCTGCACCCTTATCATAATCTAGGAAAGCCAAGATTGTGCCGTTAGGGCTTAGAAGCGCACATTACAGGCTTCGTTTCCTCGCACAATTGTTTTGGAAACTAAAAACATTGCTGGCTATGGGAATATAAGAAATCTCAGGAACAGATGCCTTCAAGGTTTTCGCAGCCATCTCCGACTCTCGATCAACATGAAGCAAAAAAAACCCTGTGCCGCCAGTCTGTCCCTGAGAGCCCTACATATAAGGCACAGTACATGCAGGTCTCCCTAGACGGTGCTGTGTACATTATGCACATGGTACTGCGCCCAATCGATCGCTGAACTCCCATCGGCTCTCTAGAAAGAGAAAAGGAAACTTCGGCCCGAAAAGTGGTCCGGTGAAACAAGGACCAACCGGACAGGTGGCTTTGCCCCCTGTAATCGCTTACCCACACATACACGCACCTACACACACATACACACACAAGCACGCACATACACACACATTCAGATATGCATATGCGCACATACAGACACATACACACATATACACACACATGCACACAAACCTAATGGCTTGCTGTCTTACCCTTTTCACATTCTTCACCGTAGGACATAGTGCGGTTACATACACAACTCATGCTTGGTGCAAGAACACCGCTCCCACAGGACTCTGTGCAGAAAAAGACAATAAAAGTCAATATCGGATTACTCTTATGCAGTCTATAACAGGGCTGCCACACTTGGAGGGAGAAAAATCTGACGGGGGTCTGGGGGGTCCCCCGGGTGAAAATATTTAGGAAAATGGCTTGCTGTTGGGGTCCCAGAACACATTTTTAACGGTCAACACATTTGCATTTTACAGCTACATGTACATGTACATGTACAATGACTGGACAAACGCGACCTGGAAGCGCCGAATGGCCAACTGGACTAAAAAGTGCTCAAAACAAAAATCGGTCGGTTTTTCCGACCGCGGATCAAAAATCGGACGATTTCCAAAAAAAATCGGAGCAAGTGGCAGCCCTGCTATAACACTAGAATGGGGATAATAGCTTATCTAAAAAAAACCTGTCACGCAGAATTGAAGGAACAAGATGAGTTGTTCTTGGGCTTTTACACCCACGGTACCATAGACCGGGATGCATGACAGCAAGGCACGGTACCATAGAACGGGATGCATGACAGCAAGGCACGGTACCATAGACCGGGATGCATGACAGCAAGGCACGGTACCATAGACCGGGATGCATGGCAGCAAGGCACGGTACCATAGACCGGGATGCATGACAGCAAGGCACGGTATCATAGAACGGAAGCATGACAGCAAGGCATGGTACCATAGAACGGGACGCATGACAGCAAGGCACGGTACCATAGAACGGGATGCATGACAGCAAGGCACAGCACCATAGAACGGGATGCATGACAGCAAGGCACGGTACCATAGAACGGGATGCATGACAGCAAGGCACGGTACCATAGACCAGGATGCATGACAGCAAGGCACGGGACCGTAGACCGGGATGCATGACAGCAAGGCACGGTACCATAGAATGGAAGCATTACAGCAAGGCACGGTACCATAGAACGGGATGCATGACACCATAACACTTCCAACACGGTTTCTGAGCTCTTGCTGTACGATAGATACATCCGTATTACTGTGCAGTGCATACTGCAAATGCTCAAATGTTCGGAACTCGCCTTTCCCTGAAAGGCATTGAGCAATCGAAAAGTCTATTTGCATAGGAAAGTTCTCAGCTCCGTCGGCAAATAGTAGGGTTACAGCCCTCGCCAGGGATTTTACGTCAAGTAGTAAACTTTCACCTCCTCACGTGGTGACAGTCATGGGAATTCCCCCTGTTTCTTGACAACAACAAAAAGTTGTCTGTAAATTATCTCAACCCTGGTGGCATGTCGAACTTCAGCTTGTCATGCATTTTGATTCCTCGCAATTGGAATCCAGGGAGCAAATTCTCCCCCGTCTCTGCCACAAACTGATATTGCGCCAAACAAAACCTTAGAATCAAAACATGCTGTAATGACTTCGGAGTTACCCTGGGAAGACACAGAAGAAACACAGCCTGAATCTAAGTTCTGGGAGTGTTCTCAATGTTGTGATTCACCGTGGGTGCAAGAAATGCTGGGAGACGACATGTTTGCACATTGCAAGTGGGCACATCGTTGGGACAAGCCCTGTTCATACAGTGCACGTAGCGACGGGACACATTTACACAAACGCACAACTATCTTCATCACGTTAGCGGCACAAACAGGGACAAACACACAGCTTGTGCATGGACAGCCATTGCAGAAGACAGTCACTTATTATTCTCTCACTTACTGACACAGAGAATCTTGGCATCCTCATGGCTTGTTTTGTTCTTAAACGTCACATGTTGTCTGCTAAATTTTACTGTTCTGTAAAGGGACTGACCATTGACCAGGATTGGCGCGACGTGGTAACCTAATCCGTCGGACTTATCTAAAGCCAATCTCTCTAGCCAGCGTTCTCTTAACACATGGCCATGTTCTTGTAACCAGTCTTTGGTTATGAGGCGAAGTCCGTACTGCTGACATGCGTTCTCTGCGCACTGCTCAGTCACGCTGGGTCCGAGTGCTGGAGTTGCTGCGGCGTATACAGAATCGTTGGCATGGAGCCATTGGGCTGCAAAACAAAGGGCATATACAGTTGCGGGTAGAAACAAAAATAGGCGGAAGAGAACTAAGACAAGCGGCATCATTATTGCTTTAACGCTGCGTTTCGTGCAAATAGCAAGGCCAAAGCTGTGTTCATTTTTAGCTACCTAGTAGAGTAGAGTCACTCTACCGATAGGCCACACGTTTTATTTCTATGTTCCTCGTCACCTGAAAATCTAAAAATGTATGCGAGAGGTGGAAAAATACAAAATGACCGAAGAATAAAAAAAGTTTATTAGACCTTTGTTCACACTAAAATCCACCAATACACCATGCAAAACAGCATCCATAGTTAGCAACTAGTATGTGGTAGGCGCTTCTATCACAATCTGTGCATGTGCAGCTAGACTGCGCACAACAAATGCCGACCGGGCATCATGTGTCGCACAGGCCACGCCACATTGTGTACATGTGCATGAGTGTGCTGGTCCCCACATGCACAGTCAGTGCAGCACAGTTTTTTTTTCTTTTTTTCTTCCAGACTCCTAAATCGTATGCGCGTGGGTGACAAGAAACATAGAAATAAAAATGTGTGGCCATAGAGGTAGATGGTAGAGGCAAGTGTACGAACGCTGTTCTACCGGATTTAGTAGTTTACACGATGTGTACGTGAAATGTTTCTTTTTTGTATGGAGTTGTGTACAAATCCTTGAGCTTGCTGGAAATCCCATAGCTCTACCGACTTCTACCGGATTCAACTAACTTCTTCCCGGTAGAGCCGGTAGAAGAAAATAGAATTTACCCTTTTGAGTCGAATTTCTTTTCCAAAAACGAAAAACTCTACCGAAAGAAGTAGTTTCTACCCAAACCTGTAGATCAAAAACGAACGCCCCCCAAAGCAATCCTCAGACAACTAAAATTCTCGCTATTGTGAATTTAAAATCGTGCTTGATGACACCCGATCTCTTGGATACGGAAGTGCCCAGAGCTAGTGAGTAGTTCAATGTTCACAGGTCTGGGGCTCGCCAGACTTCATAGAGCAGCACCGTGTCACATTTGCAAACCATTCAGCGGTTCTACCAAGGGAGTAGTATAACACCGGGTTATGACACAAGCATACGCATGAAATGCTTCTTCGCAGGTGAAATCAATTGGTTACGCATGTGTGGGTCTGACCCTGGCTATAACGGTAGGTGTGACATTGATGTGAGAAACCCAGGTGGCTGCACTCTTGTTGTCTCTTTGTTTCATACTTTCCTGTCCCGTCATTATCATTGGACATACTATCCTGTCCATGCATGCACTGTGTGCTACTCAGCATTCTCACCATTTGCCCGTCCAATGATATCGCTTTAAAACAAGCAATTGTTTACCTTCGCAGATGACATTGTGACGGCCGAAACCATGAACACTAAATATTGCACCACCCGATTTGTTCTTGTCCTGCTTGTAAATAATATGCCGACGATTGTACTCGGATGATGTCCATATCGTGATCGGGCTGCTGTTACTGTACACCATCATCTCGTGGAGCAATGACTTTACGCACCCACTCACACCAAGCTTTGAGCCGAGCAAGGTGAAGGTTTTAAAGTCGACCAGCTGATATCCCCTATCACTGCATGCGTCTCTGGCTTTCCTCCAACTGGTTATCTTCGGGCACCTGCCAGAATAACACGGCAAGCCGGCGAGAGCCGTCCAGGTGTACATCACCTTGTCCGTACCCAGGCACTTTGTCCTGAAATCTGAACACAGCACAGTACACAGACATTTACAACATACTCAGGTACAGGAGAAAAATATTACGGTGGCCAAAAAACCCTTTCTGTCCGACTTGTGTTCAAATTTTCAAGGTTGAAGCACTATAAGGAAAAGCTGTTAATCCCATTATTTTGCTAGTGGGTAATGGATCCTTCTCTATATTTTGGGCCTGTGAAAGTCACACCCAGACATTCTCATTAATTTATGCGCTTTTACCAACAGGATGAAGGCTTGTACTAATTATGATATACCGTAGTGTCTTGTATTAAAGCCTATCTCATATGGAAGCAAACGGCGGGGAGACAATAATTTGATAACCGCAATAAAAAAAATTAGCTGAAACGAAATTTGTGTATTTTATTCACTGAAACAATTTACAAGTGTTGGAAGCTATCTATCAGCGTCTGTATAAGCCAAATTTGTGTGTACAGAAAGATAGTATAATTGGGTTGAAATTGTTCAAGTAACGTGTCGTGTTTGGTTCAGCCAAGCTTGGCCGTTAATGTTCTAGGTGGAATGAAGAGTACATGAAAACCAGAGTGTGCAGCTTGGGGCCTTTTCTGCTATGGATGTCTGTCACGGCGAAATTCCGTGATTACATCATATTTGGCCCAGATCTGAGGCGGGAAATGGCGTAGTGCGTACAACTGAGCTGCAGTTGTGCAGAAAGAGACCTGCTTGAATCCTGCTACATCACTAAAATGATGTAATCACGGAATTCTGCAGTGACAGCAACCCATCCGAGCTGCACACTCTGGTTTTCATGAACTCTTGGTGAAATGTACTGCTTGTATGTGTTATCACTTTGTCCTTCCTTCTTTCTTTCTCTTGTTTGTTAATTTCTCGCTTTGATTGTTAAAATTCACACTTGTAAATTTCATTGCTGTTGTTCTTAGTGTTATTTCTCTAACCTAGATTTTCTATAAGAGTTCAATTTTGTTTCAATGTCCTTTAGTACAACGACGAATCCTGATGAGTGTTGTACGAAAACTTGTTTGAATCCATTTTTTTCTCCACACCATTTCTTCATATTTTCATCATTTTATTGCACATCGTCTCCACCGTTTTTTTTACATTGCATGAATAAAATACAAAAATGTCGGTTCAGCTAATTTTATTGATAGCGGTTATCATATAGAAGCCTGTTTTGAATAGAGGTCTGATTTTCAGAATACACTGTTGGCACACAAGCCTGGTTTTAGTGTTGACGCACATATAAATACCTGGTTTGAATAGAAGCTTGATGTGAATACTGAATAGAAGCCTAGCCCTGAAATCGGCTTCCACAGGAATACGCTCGGCGGTAATACACGACACTACGGTGAGTACATTTCAATTCTCTTTCTGGAATTCTGGACCATTATGATCAAATGCTGGGGAGACAAACGCACTGGAATCAATTAATCCCATTTTTCTGTAAACAGTGGGTAAATGAGTCCAATAACGTCACATCATTTTAGCATTACTTTATGATACTAACTGTGTGGAATATGAAGTTCCTACAATGGAGTCTGCATGCCCTTAGGAAGGAACCTTTTGCTCCAAGCATCTACAGAGAGGTGGCAAAGCCATTGTTCTTAAAAAAAAATAGAAAACGGCTTTGACTGTGAGTTTACTGAAAAGCAATACTTGTAGTCCAGCACTACTGCTCTGCTCGAGTAGAGTAATTGTGCATGTGCCGGTGTATTTTTTGTGTGTGTGTGTGTGTGTGTGTGTGTGTGTGTGTATTTGTGTGTGTGTGTGTGTGTGTGTGTGTGTGTGTGTGTGTGTGTGTATGTGTGTGTGTTTTTAGTGAATGTGTGCAGGTGTGGTGTTACATACTCACTTCACATTGCAGATACCCTCATTGATTTGTTTCCGTCTTCTCTTTGGGCTTTGTTCATGATGGCATTTTCCTCTTTCTCTTTTTCTTATCATTATCACTATCTTCATCATTTTGCGAGAACTGTGGCAACACGCCCAGTGAGAAGGCAGATTTTGCCTGTACTTCTGGTGAAGAAAATTATAGCTAAACAAAACCAAACAGAGACACTTACTGTCCTGACATTGGTCTCCCCGGAATCCGGTCGGACAGACGCAGGTGCCGTCTTCAGTACACTGACCATTATTCAGGCAATTGCATGCTGCAGCAGTGATTGGGTGCACATATTTTCCAAAAGCAAACGAATAGTGGCAGAACAACATAGCATATCGGATTCTCGAGTTTGTTACATGTATCTTGCTCATCATGACACTGTACCCACCAGTACATAGCTACATGAACAGCCAGATTACAACACTCCCACGTATATCCAACTGATGCCCATATGACTGTATCATTTATTGCACGTGGATAGGACAAAATTCCAGCCACTTTTAAGGTCACAGTACGTTGGGCAATCCGGCATACAAACTCGGAAGTGTATCTTTGGCTTCAAATACAATATAACGGCATGTATGTTCCCATGGGTCATACATTCTTTGACACGCTGGCACATACTATATTACAGCAGCTTTCTTCAGCCCTTACCTACTGTGCAGTTAGGTCCATTTAGTCTGGGTTTACATTCGCATACTTTGTTCTTTTTCACCCAGGGATGTGTGCACACAACTGCATCGCATATCACAAGAAAGAGGGAGAACAGCCAGAGATTAGCCAGACACAAGAAGGACAGACAAGTGGACAGAGGGAAAAACAATCTATTATTATTTATTTTGAACAAACGACGAGGAGACAACAATTTGATAACCGCAATCAGCAATACAAGCCTGGATCGACATTTGTGTACACTTTATTCATGTAATGTAAAACTGTGGAGACAATGTGCAATAAAACGATGAAAATGTGAAGAAATTGTGGAGAGAAAAAAAAGGAAAGGGATTGAAACAAGTTTTCGTACAACACTCATCAGGAATCTTCGTTGTACTAAAGGACACTGAAAACAAAATTGAACTTTTATAGAAGATCTAAGTTAGAGAAATAACACTAAGAAGAACAGCAGTGAAATTTACAAAAGTGAATTTTAACAATGGAAGCGAGAGCAATGACGAATGTGTGTACCAACACTAAACTTGCAGCTGAAATATGAACAAAGAAGAGAAAGAAAGAAGGAAGGACAAAATGATAACAAATAACAGCAGTACATTACACCTAGAACATTAACGGCCAAGCTTGACTGCACCAAACATGACACATTACTTGAACAATTTCTACCCAATTATACTATCTTTCTGTACACACAAATAAGGCTTATACAGACGCTGACAGATGGCTTCCAAAACTTTTCACTGTAGTCCATAACCATGACGACCACGGCACAATACAGTGAAAGAAGAGTCGGAATACGAATTGTAACAATCAGGACTAGCCAACAGATGATTGTACACTGAAGACTTGCTACCCCGAAACCTACGCACAACACTAACATTCTCACCGGCACTCTCACGATCACTACAATAGTTGCTCTCCGACTCTCTGCTCCCTTCACCGTCCGTCCCATCATCCGCTTCCTCTGCGCTCTCTCTGTTATCCCGCCTGACTTGGTCCATTGAACGGGACTCGGCCGTCACCCTGCTGTCACGTCCCTCCTTACGCCCTTGTCCGTTGAGTTCGTAGCTTTTGTTGTAGTTGGCTGTTGATCGTCTTGGTCTTTCAATAGCGGGCTTGGATGGTGGATTAGTTGTGGTTGCTGTAGATTGCAATGTTGGTGATGGTGTGGGAGCTGCTGATACGCAAGGTGGGATTTTTGGGGTTGGCAATTGTAGTGGTAACGCCACTGCCGGTGTTGCTCGCGGTCTTTCACTGGCAAGCTCCACCGCAGCAAGAGCCGACGGCGGAGCATCAGGAGGAGGCAGTGGGACCGGGACCGCAAGCGGCACCTCCCCAGCCAAAGCCGCCGGGTGCACCGACGAAGGAACCACTGACGGCAGTAGCAAAGGCGACGACACAAGCCGGCCCGATGAGCCACCACGACCACCCTCCTCCACCACAGCCACCAGCGACGGCGGAGCAAGCACAGTCTGTTAGCCAGGATCCGCAAGTTGTGTAGGTAACGGTTGTTTTCTAGATAACCCTCGCTTCGGTCTTTGTTGTTGTTGTAAATATCACTGCTGTTGTTCTTAGTGTTATTTCTCTAACTTAGATTTTCTATTATAAGTTCAATTTAGTTTTCAGTGTCCTTTAGTACAACGAAGATTCCTGATGAGTGTTGTACGAAAACTTGTTTGAATCCCTTTCCATTTTTTTTTCTCTACACAATTTCTTCACATGTTCATCGTTTTATTGCACATTGTCTCCACAGTTTTACATTGCATGAATAAAGTGTACACAAATGTCGATCCAGCTTGTATTACTGATTGCGGTTATCAAATTATTTATTTTACTAGTATAAGAGGAAAACATGTACAGTTTGCGTGCGACTCGGCTAGAGGCCGAGTTTTCCACATCTATTGGAATACCCCACCCCTCAAGGGTCAAGGCTCCCATTCAGCTCCAAGAGGCAAGAGACTGGACAATTGACCAGGAAATTGTAACTCATTGCGGACGAATGAGCGTTTCGACCGCACAAAAATAGCAGGTTTGGTGATGCACATGTTCTTATTCCTAGCAAGAGCTTGATGAAACGGAATACTTGTTCTGTCGACTTTCACTCAAAATAGAAACTAGAACACGGCCTGCATAATCAGGGCCAACCGGAACAACTCCAAAGCCTACACACAGTCAGGGGAGGCCATGTTCACACGAAAGGTATACTTTGAGAATTGCATACAATGTAAAGGAAACACTTGAAGTAAACAAATTCAAAGCATTTCGGAGACAGCAACTTTAATATGCCAACCAAGAGTACTAACCATGCATTATTACAATAGTAACAAACATGCGAGAGAAATGGGAATGTGAAATGTACATGTAAAAAGAAGCAGACGTGTTCAGATCGGTAAGGAAATTCACTTCTACCAAAAGTCCATAACCCCAAGGGTGTGCAACTGGTTGTCTGGCTGCTGTAGGCCCACTGCGCGGCGAAATTCCAACATAACGTCATGCCACTGAGACACAGAGGACAAAACTCTGCATTCCGCGGTGCTTGGATTTTTTGTTTGGCACCAGGGAGTCGGCACCAGGGAGTCGGCACTTGTGCCAGTGGTTGTGAGACTTACCCACTCACCCCCACCGTTAGGCGCTGCATCTGCCGCTAGGGTTTATCGGGTGTTAGCGGCCGTCGTGAGTTCCCTTCGGGAACGGATACGATAATTTACTTACTTTTTACCAGGGAGTAGTACAAGCGCAACGAACGTGTACGTCATTTTTGACGTGATGTTGGAATTCCGCCGCGCGGACCCCATGTACAGAGTTGCAAACTCTTGGGGTAATGGACGCCTGCTTCTACTTACCCTTCTGGCAATTGTCTCCGGTGAATCCCTTCAGGCAGATGCATTTGCCTTTGTCGTCACACTGACCCTGGTTCAAACACTTGCACACTGCAGCAGCCACCGCATACACGCAACATGGCATGAAACAGAGAAAATACACGGTTTGGTTACGCAATGAGCAGTGGAGATAGAGAAAGTAGACTACACAAAGTTACCAGGCAACTTCTGCTTGCAAGCAAACTGGGGCGTGAACACTGTTAAACACTGAAGCCAGCACTCGAAAATAGTACTAGGACAAAAACACATATAACCGTTAGTAGATCTACTCGTAACAGCCATTCATAAACAAATATGATACAATTCGCCTGTGGGGATTGCCCATTTAAAAATTTAAATAATAAGAATAATAATAATTAAAAAGCTTCCGTGGAGATAAAAATGTAATCAACGCAATAAATAGAGTAAGCTGCGCACTCAGTACAAACACCATAAGCAAAACTTGTTTTCATGTAAATAAAGAAGCTTGTTCCTAAACGTTTTCGTCGCCATCTCATCAGAGGATTACTGGCAAATCAACAAAAGCTCTTAACTCAATATATATACGCACAATGCAAGTAATAATTTAGACCCTAACTAGAGCAATAAAATGAGAGCTGAAGAAATATTACACCATTCAACGATATCAGGTATATATATTGAGTTAAGAGCTTTTGTTGATTTGCCAGTAATCCTCTGATGAGATGGCGACGAAAACGTTTAGGAACAAGCTTCTTTATTTACATGAAAACAAGTTTTGCTTATGGTGTTTGTACTGAGTGCGCAGTTTACTCTATTTATTGCGTTGAATAATAATAATAATAATAATAATAATGTGGATTCACAGGAAGTGTGAGTTACGAAGTCTGAAGAAAACGTTGAATGGTCTCTGCTTGGATGACGACTACACCATAGCTCAGTGGTTAGAGCATCGTTGGCTACAAGCGAGGGTCCCTGGTTCGAGTCCTGGTGGTGACAGTCAATTTTTTCTTCAGACTTTTCCCGTTTGTCTCTTTCCCTCAAACTAGTGAAGATTTTATGACTTGGGGCTCCCCGTGTGCTAGAGTGTACGTGAAGTGTGTGGGTACAGTGAGGGCTGCGTCCCACCCGCCTGTGTAGATTCACAGGAAGTGTGAGTTACGAAGTCTGAAGAAAATGTTGAACAGTCTCTGCTGGGATGACGACTAGACCATAGTTCAGTGGTTAGAGCATCGCTAGCTACAAGCGAGGGTCCCTGGTTCGAGTCCTGGTGGTGACAGTCAATTTTTTCTTCAGACTTTTCCCGTTTGTCTCTTTCCCTCAAACTAGTGAAAATAATAATAATAATAATAATTTGAAACTCGGGTATTGAGCCAATAATAAAAGTAGAAAGGAAAAGGACTTAATTACGGAAACGAGTTAAGAGTAACTCTCCACCACTGTAACTAGATACTATATACAGTTGGAAGTTGGAAGGCTGTCGGTTAGCGCAACGGAGATGTTTTGAAGCTAGGTGTCAGGACGTCGAATGTCTCAGTACTCTGTCAGTTTTGTGCCTAGTTGTTGCACTTTCTGACTGTATATAGTGTCTAGTTACAGTGGTGGAGAGTTACTCTTAACTCGTTTCCATAATTATGTCCTTTTCCTTTCTAATTATAATAATGATAATTCATTGCATTCCCAACTCATCACAACCACGCGCTCTTCAGCCGAACCATACAGACACCAGCAAGGACACTTCCGGTTAGAGATAATAATTATTGCTCCACGCCTCTAGACAGCTGTTTCGCTCCCTGTCGGAGCTCATCAGTAGAGGATGATAATGATGATAATGGAGGAATGATCATTCTTATACACCAGAAATGGCGCAAGTGCGCGTTTTCCACATAATTATATCAATGGCATATGCAAGCTGCTAAAATGGTAAAGTGTGAGAACAGCGATAAATAATCATAGTACGCGCTCATTGGTGGAGAAACACACCACACAGGCGACGAAAATCTTACGCGGAATACTGATGCCAAAGGAAAGTACATGTATGTTGTTTATTATTATGATGTTGCAATGTCCATGTATGCAGGCCAGGCGAGACTCACCGCCGAGATCCCCCAACGCGACAGGATCGGTTGCCGTTCAGGATTCACACCGACCTGTCCGCCCGTCAACAGGATCGACAGCGGGGGGCCCCACTGATGCCGATGTCGATGCACACCAGGAAACTTGTAGTCGTGAGTGTGATACTAACACGTCCATCGGCAACCACTGACAAACGAGAGGCCAGCTGGGGCATTCACTCCAGTCGGGGATGCTTGGTCGACGCTTCCTATCAGCAGCTCAGCTCATTTTGATCAAACAAAGATATTGCAGATGTGTCTTGCTTTTCCCCTTCCTTCTTCACCGACTCGTATTGTCATCTCTCCTTCTTTCTTCACCGACTCTTCGTGTCCACTCTGCTCTGCCACTAACGGCGCATTAAAACTTCAGAACTAAATATTGCGACAGAGCTTTCGGCCATATTTTCAATTCATTGCATTCCCAACTCATCACAACCACGCGCTCTTCAGCCGAACCATACAGACACCAGCAAGGACACTTCCGTTGAGAGATAATAATTATTGCTCCACGCCTCTAGACAGCTGTTTCGCTCCCTGTCGGAGCTCATCAGTAGAGCATGATAATGATGATAATGGAGGAATGATCATTCTTATACACCAGAAATGGCGCAAGTGCGCGTTTTCCACATAATTATATCAATGGCATATGCAAGCTGCTAAAATGGTAAAGTGTGAGAACAGCGATAAATAATCATAGTACGCGCTCATTGGTGGAGAAACACACCACACAGGCGACGAAAATCTTACGCGGAATACTGATGCCAAAGGAAAGTACATGTATGTTGTTTATTATTATGATGTTGCAATGTCCATGTATGCAGGCCAGGCGAGACTCACCGCCGAGATCCCCCAACGCGACAGGCTCGGTTGCCGTTCAGGATTCACACCGACCTGTCCGCCCGTCAACAGGATCGACAGCGGGGGGCCCCACTGATGCCGATGTCGATGCACACCAGGAAACTTGTAGTCGTGAGTGTGATACTAACACGTCCATCGGCAACCACTGACAAACGAGAGGCCAGCTGGGGCATTCACTCCAGTCGGGGATGCTTGGTCGACGCTTCGTATCAGCAGCTCAGCTCATTTTGATCAAACAAAGATATTGCAGATGTGTCTTGCTTTTCCCCTTCCTTCTTCACCGACTCGTCTTGTCATCTCTCCTTCTTTCTTCACCGACTCTTCGTGTCCACTCTGCTCTGCCACTAACGGCGCATTAAAACTTCAGAACTAAATATTGCGACAGAGCTTTCGGCCATTGCAACATCATAATAATAAACAACATACATGTACTTTCCTTTGGCATCAGTATTCCGCGTAAGATTTTCGTCGCCTGTGGTGTGTTTCTCCACCAATGAGCGCGTACTATGATTATTTATCGCTGTTCTCACACTTTACCATTTTAGCAGCTTGCATATGCCATTGATATAATTATGTGGAAAACGCGCACTTGCGCCATTTCTGGTGTATAAGAATGATCATTCCTCCATTATCATCATTATCATCCTCTACTGATGAGCTCCGACAGGGAGCGAAACAGCTGTCTAGAGGCGTGGAGCAATAATTATTATCTCTCAACGGAAGTGTCCTTGCTGGTGTCTGTATGGTTCGGCTGAAGAGCGCGTGGTTGTGATGAGTTGGGAATGCAATGAATTGAAAATATGGCCGAAAGCTCTGTCGCAATATTTAGTTCTGAAGTTTTAATGCGCCGTTAGTGGCAGAGCAGAGTGGACACGAAGAGTCGGTGAAGAAAGAAGGAGAGATGACAAGACGAGTCGGTGAAGAAGGAAGGGGAAAAGCAAGACACATCTGCAATATCTTTGTTTGATCAAAATGAGCTGAGCTGCTGATACGAAGCGTCGACCAAGCATCCCCGACTGGAGTGAATGCCCCAGCTGGCCTCTCGTTTGTCAGTGGTTGCCGATGGACGTGTTAGTATCACACTCACGACTACAAGTTTCCTGGTGTGCATCGACATCGGCATCAGTGGGGCCCCCCGCTGTCGATCCTGTTGACGGGCGGACAGGTCGGTGTGAATCCTGAACGGCAACCGAGCCTGTCGCGTTGGGGGATCTCGGCGGTGAGTCTCGCCTGGCCTGCATACATGGACATTGCAACATCATAATAATAAACAACATACATGTACTTTCCTTTGGCATCAGTATTCCGCGTAAGATTTTCGTCGCCTGTGTGGTGTGTTTCTCCACCAATGAGCGCGTACTATGATTATTTATCGCTGTTCTCACACTTTACCATTTTAGCAGCTTGCATATGCCATTGATATAATTATGTGGAAAACGCGCACTTGCGCCATTTCTGGTGTATAAGAATGATCATTCCTCCATTATCATCATTATCATGCTCTACTGATGAGCTCCGACAGGGAGCGAAACAGCTGTCTAGAGGCGTGGAGCAATAATTATTATCTCTCAACGGAAGTGTCCTTGCTGGTGTCTGTATGGTTCGGCTGAAGAGCGCGTGGTTGTGATGAGTTGGGAATGCAATGAATTGAAAATATGGCCGAAAGCTCTGTCGCAATATTTAGTTCTGAAGTTTTAATGCGCCGTTAGTGGCAGAGCAGAGTGGACACGAAGAGTCGGTGAAGAAAGAAGGAGAGATGACAAGACGAGTCGGTGAAGAAGGAAGGGGAAAAGCAAGACACATCTGCAATATCTTTGTTTGATCAAAATGAGCTGAGCTGCTGATACGAAGCGTCGACCAAGCATCCCCGACTGGAGTGAATACCCCAGCTGGCCTCTCGTTTGTCAGTGGTTGCCGATGGACGTGTTAGTATCACACTCACGACTACAAGTTTCCTGGTGTGCATCGACATCGGCATCAGTGGGGCCCCCCGCTGTCGATCCTGTTGACGGGCGGACAGGTCGGTGTGAATCCTGAACGGCAACCGAGCCTGTCGCGTTGGGGGATCTCGGCGGTGAGTCTCGCCTGGCCTGCATACATGGACATTGCAACATCATAATAATAAACAACATACATGTACTTTCCTTTGGCATCAGTATTCCGCGTAAGATTTTCGT